GTGTGTCGTGAGTGCGGGCTTCATCATACACATGGGGGATATGAAATAGCCCGTATATAGCGAGAGCCATAGAAGGTCGGAACAACAAATACTGGTCGTTAAAAAAGAATGTTGTAGTTAACTAATGGGAGAATGTAGATATGAGAAATTCCCGCGCCCCGCGGTATAGGTTATTACGGTATTTATCTTCTCCCTTCTGCCCTCTCTCTCTCCTCTTCTCTCTCGTCTCTCTCTTCTCTCTCTCTCTCTTCTCTCTCTCTCTCTCTCTCCTCTCTTCTCTCTCTCTCTTCTCTCTCTTCTCTCATCTCTTCTCTCTCTCTCTCTCTCTCTCTCTCTCTCTCCTCTCTCTCTCTCTCACTCTCTTCTTCTCTTCTCTCTTCTCTCTCTCTCTCTCTTTTGCCTCTCTCTCTCTCTCTTCGCTCTCCTCATCTCGTCTCTTCTCTCTCTCTCTCTCTCTTTCTCTCCTCTCTCTCATCGCTATCTCTCTCTCTCTCTCTCTCTCCTTTCTCTTCTCTCTCTCTCTTCTCTCTTCTCTCTCTCTCTCTCTCTTTCCTCTCCTTACTCTCTCTCTCTCTCATCTCTCTCATTCTCTCTCGTCATCTGTTTCGCTCTTCCGTCTCTGCTCTGTTCGCTCCTGTCATGCTCTCTCTCTCTCTCTCTCTCTCTCTCTCTCTCTCGTCTCTCTGTCGGCTCTGCGCTCTTCTCTCTCCTCTCTCATCTCTCCTCTCTCTCTATTAATCGCTGCTCTCTCTCTCTCTCTCTCTCTCTCTCTCTCTCCCTCTACTGCTCTCTCTCTGTCCTCTCTCTCTCTCTCTCTCTCTCTCTCTCTCTCTCTCTCTCCCTTCTATCTCTCTCTCTCTGCATTCTCGCTCTTCATCTCTCTCTCACCTTCTCTCTCTCTCTCTCTCTCTCTCTCTCTCTCTCTCCCCCTCTCTCCCCCTCCCCCGCTCCCTCTCTCACCTTCTTCTTGTTCCTGTTGATTGCCTCGTCTCGCGCGTCCTGTGCGTTGCCGGGTGTCTGGTTTCCCCACACGCGGTAACCGATGCGCAGATAGGCGGACGTGATCAGCAGCAGAGGGGCGAAGTACTGCAGCACGAGCAAGTAGATCGTGTAGTCTCGCGTCACGCGCTCCGTCCACTGCGGCCAGCAGAACGACTTCATGCCGCCGCGCCGCTCGTCCGGAACTTGCGTCACGTGTAGCATGAACAGCGTCGGCACGGCCGACGCTAGCCCGACGAGCCAGATGAACGCGATGAGACATTTCGCGGTGAAGCGCGTCATGCGCGGACGCAGCGGGTAGAGCACGGCGACGTAGCGATCCAGGGCGATCGCCGTCAGCGTCACGACGCTGACGGTGACGCTGAGCGTCTGCACGAACGGCGCCAGCTTGCACATGAAGTAGGGAAGGATCCAGCGCTGGAGCAGCGCCGCCTGGAACTGGAAGGGGATCGAGAAGATTCCGATGACGATGTCGGCCGAGGCGAGGTTGGCGATGAAGAAGTTCGTCACCGTCTGCATGCGCTTGTTGCGAGCGACGACGATCATCACGGCCGTGTTGCCCAGTACGGCGATGAGCGAGATAGTGCCGTAGAAGATCGCCAGGAGGGCTATGATGCCGCCGGGGACGTCGTAGAGGGCCGCCGCGGTGACGTTGACGGTGCCGTTCGTCGAGGATAATGATGCTGCTGCTGCTGTGACGCTGCTGTTGTGGTTGGCGGCGACGGTGGGTATCGTCAGCGTCGTCGCGGCCGCGTCGACGTGGCTGGTCATTGTTGCTGTTGTTGTCGTTGTTGTTGTTGGTGGCGGCGGCGTGCGGACGATGACAGCTGGGTGGTGATGGTGGTTGTGTTGGAGGAGGAAAGAGAGAAACGTGTTAGTGTTAACAGTGCGCGGAGAGGGTTGTCGTTTAAATCAAATTTTACACGTTCTTATGGCATGTTGAGTACGCGTACACCAGCCAGGGCCGCGCCTGTGTGGCGAAGCAGGATGTCAGTTTTGCAGATAAGGTAATCACGGTACATACCGTTAGTTTGTTTTCCCATTTGACGTTGCAAATAGGAAATGGGTTTCTGACCTATTTCCTATTTTTAAAATAAAAATAGAAAATAGGAAATGGGTTTCTGATCTGTTAGTTTGTTTTCCCATTTGACGTTGCAAATAGAAAATGGGTTTCTGACCTATTTCCTATTTTTAAGCTGAAAATCGAAAATGAGAAATGGGAAATAGGAAATGGGTTTCCGGAACCGTTTCCTATTTGCGATTCTTAGCACAGCAAAATCGACGAAGGGCAATGCATTTGGAAACTGCGACGACAGAGTGCGCTCGGTAGTACAAGCTAAGATGGCTGCGCCGTCGCAAGTGTTATGAAGTTTCTTAGTCTTATTCTTTGAACGGCTCGATGTACCAGCAAAGCTCGATAATCTGGAAATTGATAAGTTATAAAGCAATTTTGGATCCATTACAGTTACAATCATACAATTCAGTTTGTTAGTGGAGGGTACGAGGACGTAGAAAACGGTCATCAATCGATCATATAACGTTCACTGGTGTGCTAGGGTAGCTATATTAGTCATTCAAGTCGTATTACATTATAAACCCAGTATTCAGTAAATAGTCTTAGTAGCGCAATTCACAAGTAGTCTGTGAGGTAGTAACCCCCTAACATACAGTGTCTGATAGTAAAATATACTACGGTAATTATGATGTGGACTTAGTGTAGTGAATGTTAAAAATATACTACCTTAAACCTAATACACTAGTACTAACTATTAGTACTGCACAACTGGATAACAATGGGGTCTCTCTCCTCTCTCTCTCATCTTCTCTTGTATAAACTATATATATAATATATATATACAAAATTAGCCATAATAAATACCAAAGCTTAACAAATAAATGGAAGTAATATAATGCAAAAATATGTAATGGTTTGGCCAACAGCTGAATTTGAAATGTAAATGTCAGTGTAAATGCATATCACATGTCAAATAAGTATAATACTGAAACTCGCAGCAAACAACACAGTACATGTACACAAACCCTGTACGCTACAATCATCATTATATCCAGGCGGATAGGAATAATGATGTGTCGTGATCGTGTGTTGAACGGAGGATCGAGTACAAACAAAACTCCCTACCCTCAAAAGATAGAAGTCCGCAGTTCTGACGTTCAAGATTAAAGAAACACATAACACATGCCATTTTTATAGATGCATTCGGATTTGCACGTCTCTCCCAAATTTGCTTTTGGAACATTAGCTGCAAAATACGGGTAAATTCCGCGAGGCCGTGCTCTTGATTGAACTAGTTGGTATCGGCAGAATTTTTCAGGAGTCACCGAGACGTCTGCACATGTCAAATGCAGGGGAGTCCGTGTGGCTCTTAGTAATCAGGGCGAGTATTGACTTCCGCCGTTAATTTCGCGCCTTGTATATAAATATATAACATATATAACAATATATAACATATATAAAGATTAGATATGTATCAACATCAATGAACTGTTGAGGTTCTATGAGAATCACAGTTGTGCAACATAACCAATTAAGGCCTGCATGCCTCTCTCTCTCTCTCTCTCTTACTATATATATATATATAGTATATATATATATATATATATACATAATTAGCCAAATAAAATACAAAGTAATCAAATAAATGGAAGTATATATAATGCAATAATATGTAATGTTGGCAACACCTGAATTTGAAATGTAAATGCCGTAAATGATATCACATCCGTCAAATAATATAATACTGAAAACGCGAATGCAGACAACACAATGTTACCCAGTACATTCACCAACAACCAGGCCCGTTCGAAATATAACACTCGCACACTCGCAAAATGCGAGTGGATCTCCGAAATTGCGAGTAGAAAATATAAGCACTTGCATTTTTTGTGCCGAGGTGACATATATCTGTTGTGATGATCTTATCAAAATCTAAACATCCCATATCCAGGCATTTTTTAAACGAGTAACAATCGGCTGCTCAACATAAAGTCAATAAACGGAAACTAGACCAACCAATTCTGCAAAATTATAAACACGGTGCTGTCTAAAACTGCTGCTGATGTTAGAGCGATTATAAACGCTCGTGCGCTGATCGGCTCTGTGCTACCGATGAGGCTGCGTTGTAGACCGCTCTCTTCACGCATTGTAGCCAGGTTATTTAATAAAGTGTGTCTCAACAATGTATATAACAATATAATAACAGAACTAAAAAGATAACCTTTTTATTGCAAGTGTTATCATTATTTGATACACTTCAAAAAAATAATGTATATTAAAAATGCGAGAGTGTTCTCGGATTTTGCGAGTTGAAATTTGATCACTCGCAAAAAATTGCGAGTGATTTCCAAAAGCTTAAATTCTACCCTGCAAACCCGTAGCGCTACAACATATATATCAGGGGTTAGAATATTAACTTTGAACACTGGAGATCGAGTCCCAACCAACTCCCTACCTTAAAAAGAGAGAGTCCGCAGTCTGACGCTTCAAAATTAAAGAAAACATAACACATGCATTTTTTAAGATTCACGTGGCTTGACCGTCTGGCACAATTTTCTCTTGGCACATTAGCTGCAAAATACGCGTAATTCCGCAGATGGCCGTGCCTCTTGTGAGTTGAACTGAGTGC